TATAATAACTTTTCTACAGTTATTAGAGGCATGATGAGTTTGAGCAATTTTCAAACTTGTGTATTTTTTAATGTAGTTTAATACTATATTTTTAACACAGTTTAATATTAAAACACAGCAACATTAAGTCAACTGCCTATTTTAATTGTACATGTCAACATTTTGGTGATAACAGTATAAAATCCACTTTCTCACTTCCTGACTTTCTACCAAGGCAGAAAAATTATGCATAAACAAAAATTTGAGATCCTTTTCAGAATCCATTCATTCATGGCATGCAGTGCTTTAAAATGTTTCTATCTGGATCTTAGGTAGCAATAGGGTTCCAGTTGGTCTTCTGGCTTACTCAAACATGGTTTTAAAAAAAAACAGTCAGTTTTAGACTGTGGACTATGATTTTTTTTCTCCCTGATCTCTAGTTACGTTTGAGTTGTCAAGGAAAGGGTTGAGAAAGGTTTCCAATGGGTTCAACTCTGAGACACTTTTAGGTATTAGCACAGGAATTTCCTTTTCTTCAGCTGATTCCCTCAGCTGCTCTTTAGCACAGGATAACACTAGTCTGAGGCTCTAGGTCGTGGAACAGAACGTGGCGGTTTTGCAAAACCTGTTTCCATAAAGAATTATGGTTGCTGAGAAGGAACCAGAGGAAGTGAGAAGAACAGAGACATTGCTTAGGGGAATTGGTACAAAAATAAAGACGTAGCCCAGTCGAGGGAGCTGGCAATTTAAAGACGCAGACCTCTCCAGGGTGGGCGGGACCGGGAAGAGGGTCTGAGTTCCCTGGTCAGGCCTGGCTGACCACTGTCATTTCCCTCCACCTGCTCTGTGCTCTATTCTATTCTTTTTCCAACAGCCAAAATTATACTTGCTGCTAAGAATGTGACTTTGGCAGGGAAGTTCTGAGTTTCACAAGAGTAGAGACCAGAGTAGTCTCTGAAGGAAGAAAGGGGAAGCTTGGGATGGCACATCATGGCCCCTAAGTAGTGATAAGAAGGTGCCTCTGCAGGCAACCTGCAAGATGAACTTTTAAATTGGCCTTTACCTTGCCTAAGTATACAAAGCTCACAGATTTGAAATGAAGTGAAAATAGATTTTACAGTTGCAATTACTGTAGGATGATGAACAATAATGTGGAGATGCAGAGAAGGTGAAAACCATAAAATATGTTTCCACGATGTGTGTGTGTGTATCCACTGGAAGTCTAAACATGGGATATACGGACCATTTTGAAATGCGTCTATCCAAAAGTGAGACTGCTGAGAGACCACAGCTAAAGGACACAAAGTTAATTTGAAATTTGGTGGTCTCACCAGCTATTTTCTACCAAATAAGCTTGGAACTGCCCGAGTCTTTGATGTGCTCCAAGGCCCTCCAAGCACGAGCTCCAGTTTGCAGCGGGTCCACCTTGCCATTCTCTCCATCACAGACCTCCCCACTTCTGGAGAAGCTAGTGAGATCACGGAGAAATGCTCAGCCAGAAAATATCTTGAAGTCTTTCCTAGCCCTAAAGTGCTGTCATTTTATGATTATAGATGAAGTTTAGATTGTACAAAACAAATTAATTTGGTAAAGAAAAATATTCTTTCAGGCTCCCAAATACTTCAAATCAAATCTTACAGGTCCTGACTAAACTGTATACTATAAGGAACTAATAACTGGTGTGAGTGAAGTTTAGGTTCCTTTTACTCTATTTATTAGCTGATCACAGTTCCAAAATTCACAATTCACTGCTCGGCTTAATGAGCTCCCTTGTCAACTTGATGTTTTTCTGTGACTTACCACAGTTTCATAAAAAATTTGTTTTCTCTTTTGCCAAATGCCAAATGTGCTTTATAGATCAAGCAAATACACCTGCATCAAGGAAATATAGGAGTTGACAGAAAGATGATATGATTTTGTCAATCCAGCAAGCTGGGACACACTGGTAAGGGTCTGAGGAAGCTCTGTGTATACATGTATGTTTAACTGTAAACAAGGCTGTTTTTAAGTCCTCTTGGAAACAGAACCTATGGCGACTTTCTTTAAAAAGATACAGCTGGGCTTGATGGCTCAGCCTGTCATCCCAGCACTTTGGGAGGTCGAGGTGAGTGGATCGCCTGAGCCTGCGGGTTTGAGACCAGCCAGGGGATCTTGGTGAGATCTCGTGTCTACAACACATCAAAAGTTAGCTGGGCATGGTGGAGCGTGCCTGTAGTTCTGGCTCCTTGGAAGGCTGAGGTGGAAGGATTGCTGGAGCCCAGCAGGTCGACACTGGGGTGGCCGTGAGCACGCCACTGCCCTCCAGCCTGGGCGATGGAGTGAGATTCCAACTCAAAAGAAGAGATATGAGATGGGAAAGTCAAAGGTTGCTTGTAAAGACACAGACCACCATGAATACTGATGGCTATATCAGTTGCTGTTTCAGAAGAGTATTAAGCAATCTTAGCTGTGTCCTGGAGTCACCTCTGAAGCATGATAAAATACAGGTTCTGGGGCCCCACTCCAGGACATTATAATCCAGCAATCCTGGAGTGGATTCAGGCATGTCCGTCATTTTGTGATGGTCCGTTGGTGATTTCAATGGGCAGCTAAGGGTGAAACCCACTGTTCATCCTGCAGGATGTAGTGGATGCCACTGTGTGCTGCCCTAGACCCCCTCACGAGGGAGCAAGAAGCTATCCCATCAGCTGCTGAGAGTACGGCCACTGACTCCTCACTCACAGAGAAGCCCTTCTCCGGGCATTGCCCTCCACAGGCCAAAGGGGCCAGCCTCACTCGGGGTCGCCCCACTCTCTGGGATCAGCCTGTATCCAATGACTGATCAATGGGAAGAAACTATAACGGCCTCACACACTTGCCTCAGTTTGGAAAAACCCTGAATGGGCCTTTAATCCAATCATCAGTGGAGCCACGTGACGCAAGGGGAGGCATTTGGCCAAAAGCTGAAAAACCTGGGCTCAAAGTTATTTATGCCTATTGCTGTTGGTGGCCTAGATAAGTCACATAGCCTCTTGAATCACTGTTCTTAATTCTGAAAGTGGGACAGCAACAACAACAATCACTAAATTACCTACTTCCAAGTGGAGCTGTGAAGATTCAGTGAGATAATGCAGACAAAAATGATGAATCATGTAAAATGCTGATAGTTATTGCTATAACATGTCCTTAAGTCTAAAAGCCCCCACTTATTATGGGAAAGAAATACATCAAAGTACCACATGACACTAGGAGTCAAAAAATGTTTCAAGTCCCAAGTGTGTATGAACTTGTTCCTCACTGCATGTGTCTAATGACTTGAAATAATAAAGTATATGATGGTCTTGTTTACTTGTTTATTTTGCTTTTACATAGAGCTGAAATAAGCCATAAAAAGAAATTGTCCCAGGCGTCAAGACCATTCAGTGGGAAAAGAATAGGTAAATGGCGCTAGGACAATGCTATCTCTACAAGCAAAAGAATGAAGTTGGGTCCCTAACTCACACCATTTACAAAAAAGTAACAAAATGAATAGAAGATCTAAATGTAGGAGCTAAAGCTATAAAATTCTTAAAAGAAAAAAGGTATACGTCTTCATGGTCCTAGATCAGGCAGCGATTTCTTAGATATAACACCAAAAGTACAACTGATTTAAAAAATAGATAAATTAGACTTTATCAAAATCAAAAACTTATGTTTCAAATGACATCATCATAAGAGTAAAAAGACAATCCACTGACTGTGAGAAAATATTTGTAAGTCATATGTCTGATAGACTTTCATCCAGACTATATAAAGAGCTCTTACAACTCAACAACAAAACATCAAATAACCCAATGGACAAATGGGCAAGGGATTTGAATAGACATTTATCCATAGGTAATACATGAATGGCCAATACGTACACCAAAAGATGCTCAATATCATTAGTCATTGGGGAAATTCAAATTGAAACCACAATGAGATACCACTTCATACCTACCAGGATGACTATCATCAAAGAGAGACATCCACATTGGCAATGATATAGAGAAACTGGACCCCTCATATACTGTGGGAATATAAAGTGGTATAGCCACTTTGGAAGACAGTCTAGCAGAATCTCAAAGTGTTAAACATGGAGCTATCATATGCCCTGGCAACTATACCCCAAGAGAAATGAAAACATATGTCTGTACAAAAACTAGTACAGAATGTTTATAGCATCATTATTCATAATAGTCCCCAAGTGGAAACAACCCAAATGTCCACCAACTAATGAATGGATAAACTAAAATGTGGTACACCCATATTAGGGAATATTATCTGGCAATAAAAAGAAATGAAGTACTGATACATGCCGGAATACAGATAAGCTTTGAGAACATTATGCTAAGTGAAAGAAGTCCGCCATAAAAGACCACATACTGCACGATTCTATTTCTATGACATGACTAGACTTTTCTATAGATTTGCCCAAATCTATAGAAAAAGAAAATAGATTAGTGGTTACCAGAGGCTAAAATATGGACGGAGTAGGTAATGACTGCCAGTGGGGCTTCTTTCTGAGGTGCTAGAAACGTTCTAAAATTGATCAGGTGACAGTTGTGCAACTCTGTGAATATGCTAAAATTCACTGAGTGGTACAGTTGAAGTAGGTGGATTGCATAGTATGTGAATTCTATCTCAATAAAACTGTTATTAAAGAAATAATTCCATGAGCTGAAGAAATGAGACAGCAACCAAAATTTAAATATAACCCATAGCAAAATATCATGTCTATTTTGCTTTGCTTTTCACACAGCTCATTGTCTGCCATTAAATAAATCAAATCACAATTCTCATGCGTGGGAAAGAGATTGATCAGGAAAAAGTGATTGTTCCCTGGAAGAATCCAAGTACCCTCAAAAAGGAATGCAACAATTCTTAGCAATTGACTCAGATTAAAGGTATCGATAACTACATTGGCTGAACCACATTCCAGGTTGCTGGGAAATGATGGCACTTTTGTAGCAAACACAAGGACATCTATAGCAACAGCTCCCAGTCAAAGGAAAACACATTACCTGTGAGCTTTCAGGATCCTCTGAGCAATGGCATCACCCACCTTGTTGAATACAACTTTGTCATCAGCACAGCTTATGAAAAACTGGTTCTGTGAGAAATACACAGGACAGTCACCTAAGTCTCTCTTTCCTTTGTAGTGCATATACAAATGTGGTAAATAACAAAAAACACATTGATATTTTAAAAAAATGTTTCACACAGCAGACAAGTCCTGCTCACTGAAACCACACCAGGAAAGTAAATGACACTGAATTTAAAAAGAAAAGCTGGTATTAATGCTACTCTAAAGAGATGAAGCAAAATGATTCCAGGTAATGGATGAGTCAACCTTAATATCTTATGCTACCATGGTATAACTGTTGAAATTCCTAATACTAATAGCGCTTACCAAACTCCAGACTTTATGCAGAGTTCATGAATTTTTCCACTAATGTCCTGCTTCTATTGCATGACTCCATCCGAGAGACCACAGTGCATTTAGCTTGCTAATATTTTAATTAGCTCTCTCTTTCTCCAGACTCATGAAATAAATAAAGTTCCAGTTCTTTCCTTTTTACCTCTAATGAATTGTGGGAGAGCCAGGATTCAACGGGAAGGAAGGCAGAGCTGGATTGGTTGCCCAGCTAACCCGTCTCCCCCATCCATTTTTTTAAATGGTGGCAGGGGGAAAACTAGAATAAAGAAGGGAAATGTGCACTGATTTATTTTTTCCATTTTTGTGACTTTTTGTTTTCTCAGGGATTTCCAAGTGCTCTGAACTTCAAAGTATGTTTTCAAGTATAATTAAGTTTCCAAACTAAACTCAGTGTTCCCAGATCTTCTCATCTACTCTGAACACAAACTCTGGGACCCGAGTAGTTTCATAATGAAAAACCACTCACACAGGTGTGAAGAAGACAGTTCTCGTCTTTACTGTTCTCACATCTTCCTTTGCCATGCTCTTTTCCCTGCACTCTCCCTACTCCACTCTCCCCAAACCAGCGGCACCCAGAGGGCTCCAAGCAGCTCACCCCTGCTTGTGCTCCCCTGAAATAGGACTTGCCTCACACTCAAGCCCTCCACCCCAGGATCAAACAAAGATCAAAACCTGCACATTGGCAGGGGGGAGTATTTCTGGCTAGTAACATCACAATGAGTTGAAGCATTTTAATAGCAAGGATGTGGGAGACGCCCGTGGGAACCCTGAGTTAATGACAGTGCACAGCAAGTCCCAGGTGTGCTGGGGAGGCCAAACTCAGGTGACATGAATCAGTACTTCTCCAGTATTCTTCACATCCCAACACATGCTCCTCAGTATGGCAGGCCCTGGTCGGGGGACCCTGCTGTCTCTGTGTGATATTAAGGGAAGGCAGTTTCTTATACAACTTTACATGAGCAGGACTTACTTCGATGTAGATATAGTGCTTGCTGTTCTCTATCGTATGGACATAAGCGGTGTGGATGGATTCTTCGTAGTACTTTATTCCAGCAGACCAGTCAGCAGCAGAACGCAGTACCTACAGACAGCAATCCGGAAAGTGCAAACGTCAGACAACGGAGCTGACACCAGATGCACCAGTGCAAGGAAATCGCTCCTTTTTCTTCTGAACAGCTGAATGGCTGCGGGGTCCTGAGTGTCACATGTGAGCCAAGGGAGAGCACGAGGGGGAGGAACACTGCCAAGGAAGAGGGACAGGAGCTGGTCCTGGACACGGTCCATGAGGAAAAGCCCAGCTGAAAACACTCTCTTCCATCCAGGGTTATTTGTATTCATAATTGGAAAACACAAATTGTGGTTGCTACAAGAACGTTTCAGAAGTGCCCCTTCTGGTGACTATGAGAAGGGTAGCCACTTGTACACTTTCCAGTGACCATCCCACAGTTACCAGAATGCCTGTTGTTCTGGTGTGTCTATTAATAGTACCCAATCTCATTCTCAAAAGGGTCCTGCTTTGGATTCGATGGTGTGACCTTCCTAGCTCCTCCTTAATAATGGGAACATACCTTTTCCCCCACATAGATTTTGTTCAGATTAATACAATCTAAAAGATAGTTCATTTAGGCATGTAATCTTCATTCTACCTTTAATTAGCTGTCTAGTTCGTGGTGTGTCACTTTAAACTTTCTCATGGTGATAATAAAGGAAACCAATTGCAGGAAAGAAAACTGAGGCTCTGAGAAGTAATGAACTTGCACGGTGTCACAGGGATACTAACACTGGCATCAGAGCTTGAGTTTATGTCTCATTCCGTGTCCTATGTTTGTCTACCATGCCACACTGTTTTGCTGTTTCATCATATCTGTCTGCCGTGCCATCAATTTGGAGTTAACCCCATCACCTCAGATTAAACAGATAAAAGCTGAGCTCATGACTGTTATCTCTAAGCCATTTTTCAAATCAAATAACCACTGGCCAGGAGTGCAGCATCACTTTATCCATCTTTGAGTGCTCTTGGGGGGCTCTTCTTCTCAGAGCCCATATTCCATTGCAGATCTGACTCAGTTTGTCCTTTAGAGGATTTGTCAGCCTTGCCTCTTTCTCACCACTAGTTGCATCCCCTCTGTTCAGACACTCACCTGCTCCACCTGTGTTATAAAAGCTAAGAGCTTCTAGTTCAAACACCTGAATACAGGTAAATGCACTGATGTAGAGAGCAGGGCTGCCTAAGTTTAAAAAGCCTAGCTCAACTACTTACCAGCTGTTTCTTACCCTCTTTGCACCTTAGATTTTGTTCCATAAAATGGAGTTTCACCTTATAGGGTTGTAGAGAATAAAGTGAAGTACTGTGAAACGTGAGGCAGAAGGCCTGGCACCTTTAGGTGGTCCATAAGTGATGTCATTAATGAGAGCACAGAGGATGCATCTGTGCTGTAGTGGATTGTGCAGATGCTGCAGAACAGACTGGCTGTACATAGGAAGAGGGACTAGAGGACATGGAATAAAGGCTTCCTCAACAGCACACAACCCTCAGATGTCACTTACTGCAGCACTCTCACTCATACTGCAGCATGATGTCAGCATATAGCAAGTCCTAAAACAATAGTGTGACATCACAGAAGAATCACTACAAAGAAACTTTGCTATTCCTGACTTGAATGTTGAAACTGTCCCTCACGAGGTCAGCTGAAATTGAAGACAGAACGAATGGCCACATATTTATTAGGAATATGCAAAATTATCCAGCACACAATCAGTTCTATGGATGCTATATATAATAGGTCTGATGAGATTCTTGCTGTAATCAATAACTTTAAAATTCTATCTATAAGGCTACTGAAATTCAAACCTAGTACTAAAAATCACTGATTATGTCATTCTTTGTCTAGAATGAGAAATTTATTATGAAATATCTCCCCTCGAAGCATTTTATTTAATTTTATCAGATGAATATGTGCAATGAAGTTTCAAAATTCAGTTGTGGACATGAATGGTTAAATATCACAGAGGAAAATTCGTGAGGAAAGTTTGGACACATATGATCCAAACTAGGAAAATATCTTGATTCTAACATCCTTTCTGAAGAACTGCATCGTGGTTTATCAGGGAGAAATAACAAAGGCTGAACAAATAGGAGTTTCAATTCTTAGTCTACTCAAATAAATGTTGGATTTTTTTGCTAGGGAGCCTGATCCTGAAAACGCAGTCTCTCCTGAGAAGATCCTCATGCCAACCTAATCGATTCTGTGTAACTCTGGAAACTAGATAATTGCAGCGTATGGGGGAAGAAAGGAACTCTTGAGATGACAGTTAAAGCTCCACATTTACCAGCTCTGTCACTTTGGACAAGTCATTTATCATCATGGAGGTTCAGTTTCCTCCACTGTACGGCTGACACTTCTCTTTCTCCCCCCCACAAAACTGCTGGGAAGAAAAAAAAATGGCACAACAAGCAAAAAATGCCAATAATGGTACATGGCACTTAGTACAAGATACTTCATACATGGCATGTCTATCTCTGTACAAAAATTACAGGTCAAGTTTATGACCTATCCTTAGTGGTAACATCTGAGTCTTTCCCTCAAATCCTAAAACTTTACACTACCTTTCCTTGCCCACTCTCAAAATTTGTTCTGACTTGAAGATTCAATATATTCATTCACATAAGATATAAATTAGGACTGTCAAGTAGGTGTCAACTCGCATGTCAAGTCTAACAGATTCAGAGTGGCTTCCTGGACAGTTCTGTGGAAGATAAGATTCTTGAGACAGGCATACTGAGGAAGAGATCTGAGGTCGATTACCAGTGGCTGCTATGAAAGGGAAGGCATGAAGGTCACATATTTGCCATTTTACCTATGAAGGATAATGGTAAATGTTTCCCTTTCTAAAAGCAACTAAATTAACCTAAGTAGAGCTGTGAGCCAAAAGAAGACCGTTTTACGTATTAGCCTGTAAGAGAGCATTAAAAAAAAGTAGAGGGTGCCCTCTCGGATGCCTCTAAAACCATGGGGGCACCCACACCTCAAGGGGCTCCATCATAATCTATCCTATTGTCCGAGTCCAAATTCATATCCTTTACTCAAAATGAAAACTCATTTAATTAAAAAGAGTCATCATTTTTGGCTAAACTTGAAACATATCTTTCAGACAACATAGAAAAAAAAGTTACTTGGAATTATTATTCGTCTGCAGCTATTCTTATTAGCTCAAATTTCCCATCACCACAAGTTGAATTTAAAATATGAACTTTCCTCTTGCTTGGCCTGCGTCCTTAACTGATGGAACCCTGAGGTTATTAAAAATCAGCTTAACTGTCTGGAATGTTTGACAGTCCAGAAAGTTCTATCAATATTCAAGTAAGGCAAACACATTCAGATGGATTTCCAGTATTTTAGATGTAAAGTTTTCTCTCTTGTTTTTTCTTCACTGACCTGGCAAACCAATGCAACTGAGAGATGCCTCAAACTCCTCCCTCACATGCAAAAATGTGGTTTATCTCACAGTTCCAACTGTGCTAAGAATCAACTCTAACCTATACTTTCCAAACCTCAAGCCTGAATACATCATTTAAATGTATATAAAAACAGCATATTTCTGATTTTATGGCTTAGCCTCAGAACTGTAACTTGGACCAGACATCTTCCTCTGCACTGGGCCCTATTTTAAACTTGAAAAAGAGCCTTTTTTGAACCGCAAACCCTAACTCTCTTTCATACTATAGGCCCAAATCAAATATATGGACTAAATAACAGAAACCTCTTTCTGACGAAAAACTTTCAGAGCTCTCTTGGTATTTGTCCCAAGCTCATTTCCTCTCTCTCCCCAAAATGCTTTCATTACCTATAAAGACAGCACATATGTGAATTCCTTTTTATTTCCCTGAGATCCAGGTCGATCATGGAACAAAGACTGTCTAGGATTAAAGCACTTTTCATATGTCCCACAAGTAGAGGGTGGCATCTGCATAGACACTCGCAAAGGGTGTGGGCTGGGGGAGGGCAGTCGAGATCCTTGGGCCTTATCCTTCCAGTCTGTACTGAGGAGCAGAAGGCAAGCGGTATGAAGACACTGGCCCAGTCTGGCTCGGTGGCTCAGTCTGTCATCCCAGCGCTTTGGGAGGCCGAGGCGAGTGGATTGCCTGAGCCCGTGGGTTTGAGAGCAGCCCAGGCATCTTGGCGAGACCTCATCTCAACAATAGATCAAAAATTAGGCCAGGCTTGGTGGCTCAGCCCATAGTCCCAGTACTTTGGGAGGCCGAGGTGAGAGGATTGCCTGAGCCTGCAGGTTCAAGACCAGCCTGGGCAACTTGGCGAGACTTTGTCTCTATAATAAATAAAATAAATCAGCAGGGTATGGTAGCAGAGGCCTGTAGTTCCAGGTCTTTGGAAGGCTGAGGCGGAAGGATCTCTGAAGTCCAGCAGGTCGAAGCTGGGGTGGCTGTGAGCGTGCCACTGCACTTCAGCCTGGGTGACAGAGTGAGACTCCAACTCAAAAAAAAAAAAAGACACTAGCCCAGCCCAAGAACCCGCTTCATCCTGTCAAGCTCTTTCTTTTCATGTCAGCCATCCATATCAGTGTGCAGCTATTCCCACCAGATGATCCTTTTGCCTGAAGAACAAGAAGAAAAAGCAAATCTTGAGGTAAAGGGCAGAAAGAAAAGGTAATTTGAAGAATGGGGCTTCATGAGACACAAGTCCTAGGAAAAAGGTAGTCACTGGGGGCCAGAAAGAAGCAAAAGGAGAGTCAGGGGTGGAGTTGGGCTATGCTGAGGCACGGCCATGCCAAAAGGCAAACAGGACATGAGCTATACTCTGCTAGAGCTTTGGTGGTTACCACCATCCTGGGCTCATGGAAAGAGCCTCCACAGTTAACAGGCACTGAAGCCAGACTGCTCAGAATCCAGCCAGCCCCCCCACTTACTGTGAGTCTGTTTCTTCACATGTCAAATGAGAACTGAACAGTAGTGCAGCTCATAGACTGATGAATGTGAGATCATCCACAAACAGCTTAGCACAGGGCCAGGCACAGAGTAAACACTCACTGTTCACATTAGCTCTGCCAACCAAGACCCAGAGAGACACTCACACAAATGTTAGGGCACAAAGACCTGGCACACACATGAAAAACAACTCCCGTGACATATAACTTCCATGGAAATTAGTAAAGTGATTTTCTCTCTTTTTTTTTTTTTGAGACAGGGTCTCACTGTTTCCCAGGATGGAGTGCAGTGTTGCCATCATGGCTCACTGCAGCCTCGACCTCCTGAGCTCAAGTGTTCTTCCCACTTCAGCTTCCTGGGTGCCACTATGCCTAACTAATTAAAAAAAATTTTTTTTTGTAGAGATGGGGTCTCCTGTGTTGCCTGGGCTAGTTTCAAACTCCTAGCCTCAAGCTCCTGTATGAGCCACTGTGCCCAGCCGAAGTGGACTCCTTTGCTCCACCTACCCACTTCACTACCCATCTACCCACTTTCTTCTCTCACACTGTTCTGCAAACATTGTGCTGTCCTTTGACACCTAATAGAGCCTCTGAAATGTTATTTGGACATTTGTCTATTTATCTGGATGAGTGTGGGAATAAATTTCTTCAGCAGTATAATCTGGATGTCACTTACATTTGCCTGCAAATTTTCTTGTTCCTTTTCCTTTCTCTTTCCCGCCCTCCTTGTTTCCTTTCCTCCTTACTCTTCACCCATTCTTCTTCCCTTCTTTGTTCTTGCCTCCCCCCTCCCTTCCCCCTTTCCTTCCTCCTTTCCCTCCTTTCATATAAACAGGATTGAAGACATGCTTCCAATGTCTCAGTATAGGTAGGAATTCGCAGCATGGCTATCTCCAGGAATGGTTTCTACTATAAGCTTCCCGATGTAATAAAAAGTACCACTTCTCTGGACTCACTGCCAGTGACACCAAACTAATTATCTTTAACTCTTTTCTCTGCCCCAAATTTTCAGTTTTCAGTCATATGTCCCCGTCACTTTCTTCAAAAATACCTCCCACTTGTCCCTTCCTTTCATTTCTGGCCTTAATTATACACCAGAATTACTGTAACAGCCTCTTCGCTGGTCCCCTTGCTCTTGCTCTCTCCCTGGTCTAGCAAGCACTAGTGTATAAACCTTTGGTCCCAGTTGTTGCTTCAGATAGAAGGAAACAGACAAGTAGACATAAAACAAGAGATTCTCCAATAAATTAGCTTGGGAAATATTCACGCTGCATTCCCTCTTAGTGCCTTACAATACACATTGGCATAACAAAGGCATGAAGGAGGCCTGTATTAAAGAACCCTGCAAAAGTTCACTTATCCCCTGGACATCTTTTTTGTGGAAAGGTTATCAACATTTCATAGGCAAAACCCAGTTTGGAAAACCCTGTCCTACGTTAATCTTCATAAAATATTCACATGTCACGCTTGTTCTGATGAAAAAATAAGTTTCAAAGTTCCCTTGAGGCTTCCAGAACCAGGCCCAACTTCAGCAGGCCAGCACTCCAGACACCTCCTCCTAGACTTCTACCATCTAACCTCATTACCACCTCTCTAAGAGCAATTGCTTTACTGTAGTCTTCTGAGCAGGTGAAATTGCTCTTTTGCGTGGACACCCAGCCCTCTGCTTTGCGTGAATACTGTGTCCCTCTGCTTTGCCAAACTTTCATGGCATGCTGGTCCCACTTTCATACTGGCATTTAAGCAAAGACCATACTTTGCATTGTTAACTGAATTATTAACATCACAGCTTTCCCTCCCCAGCTACCTAAGCTTCCAGAGACAGCTTCTGTCTGCTCACGCAGCACCTATGTGTGCCTTGGAGACGTCACTGTGCAAACAGATGGCACTTAATTAACATGTCAGCTGAATAAATAAATGAGTGAGTAAATGAATTAATGAGTGGTAAATGCCCTTTTAAGTTAACTGGCTTTGTAGATTCCTGAGTCCAGGCCACCTGAAGATATTAGGGACGAGCATACAAACTTATCAGAAAAGACCCTCTGATCTAGTCCCATTTGTAACATGACATACACTGACGTGGAGAAGGCGAATGAAGAGAGGTGTTTTACAGAGTATCTCTGTCTTACCAGGGCAGCAGGATGAGAATGTAAGTCAGCACACATGGAAAATGTATGTACGTGCAGCACTAGGTTACAACAGCCTTCACTGCTCATAAAATTATACAATTCCCAGCAAAACGGTTTCAACAGATAATTAACATCAGCTAACTTTGATAAGTCAACCACTATGTCCATTTTAGTGAAAGTTCAGATCTTAAACTCTCTTACTTAATACCAAGATTCCTATTTTATCTTCTAGCATGGGTAATTTTTCTCTCTCCAGGTAAAATAAAATTAAATGGGTTCATAAAATATTCATCAACTTATGTATAAATCATAGCTATCTGTGCTTCCAAGTTCAAATGAGTTTTCCTTAGCCTGGGATGACTAAATATTTGCTACAGGTATTTTCCTGGTGATTTATCTACTTAAAAAAATGTTTCTGGTCTGAAACATCTTTATTTCGTATACACACACACCTCTACGTGCACACGGTGCAAAGTAACTTTAGGCACTTCATTTATGGCCTCACATTCACTGGGATCCATGCCTGCATTATAAGTCCATGCCGGTGATACGCAGTAGTAGCTGACTGCTAGATCTTTGCTTAAACAGGGCTTTTAATGCTGATAGTGGTGACTTCAAACAAACAAAAGGCAAAGCCAAAGGTGGCCCATCTAGTTCTGTCCCCACATGATCTCCAGACATCTGAGCTGTGGTTGGTAAAGAAAGCAGATTGGGAAACACTGGAATAGACTGACATTTCAAGTCCCGCCACTATCAGTGAGTAGCTGGGTGACCCTGGATAAGCCTCAGAGCCCCACTGGGTCTGACTTTCTTATTTGTAGTTTGAGATGGTTGAACTAGATCTGGTAAAATTTTGTGTCTCTGTTAAGCATATTCCTTATTCCATTAAAAGGGCCTCTAGAGGGCATTTGGTTAATTAAGAACTAAAATTAGACTGAACTGCAACTAGCTTCCCAGCTGCTAAGTTGCAGCTGAATTCCTGGTGCTCAAGCAGTATCAGTCTCAGGTTCACTGTGTATCATGTTGCTAGGGTCACTTCAGAGGAATGACAGGAATAGCCCTTCCTTGCCTGCAGCCCTCTCCAAGGACATGCACTTATTATTATTATTTTTTTTTTTTATCACCCAGACTGGAGTGCAGTGGCCACTCCTGGCCACTGCAGCCTCGACCTGCTGGGCTCCGGCGATCCTTCCACCTCAGCCTTCCAAGTAACCGGAATTACAGGCATGCGCTACCACGGCCGGCTAATTTCTGATTTATTGTAGAGATGAGATCTCGCCAAGTTGCCCAGGTAGGTCTCGAACCTGCAGGCTCAGGCAATCCACTCACCTCAGACTCCCAAAGCGCTGGGATTACAGGCTGAGCCACTGAGCCCGGCTATATTTTTAAACGAGTTTTAAAAAGAGGGTGAATTGAATCCATTTAACATAGGAAACATAATACTAAATTTTAAAAGATCCATTCAGATTTGCTTTAGAAAAGCTGTCATTGAAAAATCTGACGCCAATGTAATAGGCACTTGGTTGAATAACAGCAATTTATCTCTACCTAGAGCACTGTGTCAAAAAGAAAAGCTGGACTTACCTGTATTTTAGCACGGACAGACCCAGGCACCTGATATCTCAACTCATGGGCTGTTTTTTGAGACTTTGGGAGTAGAAAAGGATAAGAAAGAGACCGATATTTTGACTTCATAATCTAAAATAAGAAAAAAATAAAGCAAAAAAGAGTCAAATGAGAAAAGAAGTCCATTCCTCCCTACTTTGTGAAGAAAAAGAAATTCAGGTTCATTTTGAAAAAGAAAACAGAAAATGCTAAAGGTAGACGTTTCTAAGTGAAGGGCTATAGAGTATTTATATTTGTTTTTTATTTCCCAAATGTCCATCTTTCACCGTCTATAGCAAGCATGTTTTTTTTTTTTTTTAAAGCAGGATTTATTGAGAGGACAGAAAAACTCCCACAGTGGGAGGGGACCTGTAGGGGTTGCCCCATGTATTGTTCTATATTTGTTAAGCAAGGTTAAATACAATCTACAGTTATAGATACATATCACTACAAAAATGGGATTGTTGTTTTTTTTTTTATAAACTAATTTTTTTTTACTATGTTGTAGATATTTTGCCACAGCAATATAGCACTATATCATTGTTTTTAATAACTTTATAGTAAAGTGGTATAAAGAATCATTTGTTTAATAAATTCCTATTAATCAGCATTTCAGTTATTTCTAATTTTATTTGAATTATTAGAAGCGATATAAAAATACATTACCTTATTGGATTACTTCTCTAGCTTGAATACCTGGAAATGTCTTTTCTGGACCAAAAAGTGGGTTTTTAAAATGACTTATTGGTGGTGTACCAATGTATCCTCCCAGAGGCAGGGTACAAGAGTACTCTCCAGCCAGGCTCGTTGGCTCTGCCTGTAATCCCATGCCTTTGGGAGGCTGAGGTTAGTGGATTGCCTGAGCCCGCGGGTTCGAAACCCGCCTGGGCAACTTGGTGAGCCCTCATCTCTACAATAAATCAAAAATTAGCCGGGCGTGGTAGCGCGTGCCTGTAATTCCGGCTACTCAGAAGACTGAGGCGGAAGGATCGTCGGAGCCCAGCAGGTCGAGGCTGCAGTGGCCGGGAGCGGCCACGGCACTCCAGTCTGGGCGACAGAGTGAGACTCTGACTCAAAAAAAAAAAAAAAAAGAGCACTCTCCCATCCCACCACTCAACCCAACTGCAGGTATTAGCAGTTTTTTCTTTATCTTTGCCAGTATAGTAGGCTAAGAGTAACAACCCATTTGTGTATTCATCCATGCCTCCCTAAATTTTTGTTTAAAAATCCTGCCATTAGAGCTTCCGCTACATGTTTATAATGTTTATGTGAATGAAAAGTAAAGTTAAGACTCTAAGTTGTCAATAAAACTGAATTCTTTCCCCAAATGATAAGGGAGTATAAGGTCTCATTATCACTTCAGGTAAAGAAAGTAGAACTTTAACAATTAGCTTAACTTACGAATGTTAGGTCAAGCTCTTACAAGTAGTGAGGACACAATCTGAAGAAAAGAAAAATGGCTCCATTTTCTTAATACTTGCTTTGCTCAGAACCAGCTCTCAGAATCTGATAGGAACCCAGTGCAATTCCAGGACTGGAAGGGACTTTCCAACCCCTGAGCTCTCCCGTCTCAACCAGCTCCCATCCGCCTTTGATAGCCCCACATGACTACAGAGGCATGCCCGTAAATGCTCGATTAATACTGAGAGTCCAAGAAGGCTCCAGAGGTTAACATCACAAGCATCTGCACTGTGCCTTGTCTCTGGCGTGAAAGTTCAGGAACGTTTCCTTCTTTTTTCACCCAGAGGCCCAGGCGCCCTGACAACAATGCAGGTGGGTGGCACAGCTGTGGCCGGAGCAGCCCCTTCTCACCAGCCTCCAGATCCCTCCTCCAGCTTGCCCTGCTTCTCTTCCTGTGGACCGAACCGTGATAACAACACCCAAGTACCTTCGTGAAGTTCCAGCGCTGGATGAAGTGACGCGCCACGTCACGTGCCGCCTTCCCATGGACTGCAGAGGCGATATCATGCCAGGGCATCCGGGGAGTGGAGTACCTGTCAATGAAATCTGCCCAAGTGCACCGGGCGAGGAACAGGTATTAACTTCTATGCTGGGTAGAAGCCCTCTGACTCCAGCTATGACATATAAACTAAACTGAAACGTGTTAGTGTCCACTATGTGTATATATTTCTTGGCTTAGAACAGCATTTTTACAGGCAAGGGAAACAGATTTCATGTCAGGAACACAGTTCCTTGGGCATCTCTCCCAGATATGTTTCCACTTCAGTAAGTATCAGGTAGTCCCTAGACAAGGCAAGATGTGAGTTGGCACACATTATCTAAGGCTGTGGGCTTGAAACTATATATTTTTTTCTTTTTTATCCTGTTGAAATAGTGTCAGATGGTGCCACCTCTGTCTCCTCTTGGACTCTTAACACAGTGATAATTTGAAAATATGTCATTCTAATGCTGGAAAATGGAGGTGATAAGCAGAGAAGAAGGTGACCAAAGGAAGGCTCCCACCTCCTGGAGAATTACAGATCACGACCCCCCAAATTTGCCTACAGAAAATCTGGAGTTTTCAGATAAGTCAGCTCTATTTCATGTTCTTTTCTTACTGTAACTACAGGGGTCAGTACTGAAGTATATGACTAATGACTAAATCATGTCTCTAAAGTTTTACCTAATTTTCAAAAATAAACCAAAACAAAAGGCATTTAGAATGTGTATGTAGGTGTGTGTTGAGATGCTCAAAAGCAGCCCCTCACCATGACACTCACCAGCAAAAGGTTTATCAAGCTGCACCCAGTCCTTGAAGACAAAATTGCAGTAGTCCTTTCCATGCCAGAATCGGGTCTCCCCGTGTAGCTCACCCACACCTGTCTGCAAACTGCGAATGGAGCTGGTGTCTGTGAAGGCAGCAGGACCTCCTCAGAGACTGTGGCACGGGCAGCCCCGAGAGGAGGCTCAACTCTCATCTAGTGAACATGTATGAACTTTCTCACTGCTTCAGACTCACAACTAGGGTAGTATTCATCCATTGCCTTAGAGGCTGTGGGCTGGCAAGGCTTTGCAACCCTCACAAGGTTATTTTTAGTGGGCAGTTGGGATGATAGCCAGACTTATCATTAAACAACGAGACTGAACCTTCTCAGGCGGCTGAGCAGCTTATTCTCATCGCCTACCAGATCAATGGGAGAACCATGCACAGGGTTAACGGTGAACGAGCAATGCACATGGGGGGGAGGGAGGACACTAAGAGAGAAGTAAAGCCAGGTGAGAGTGGAGAGGCTTGATACGTACACAGAGGCAATGGAGGTCTCCCGCCACTTCTCCTTCCTCAGCCAACAGGGTGCACACCTCATGCATAATTCTTGTTTTTTGAATAAAGCAAGACTCTCAAATTTACAGACAGCCCACGATCCAGCTCTGGAATTAACTAGCTAGGTGACCCTGAGCTTCAGCCATTTACATATAAATGTATGTTATTTGCATATAAATCCCTTATAGGCAAAAGAAAGAATCCGGCCTAGATCACAGCTAAGATCTGTTGGGCTCTAACATTCTATACACTCCAAATCATAAGAAATACAGCAACAGTCATCAAAAACATACAACAGACAGAAGCTGATGGCAGAAGCGCAAAAGCAGCAGTCTCCTGCAGCACTTCACAAAGAGCTCCACCAAGACCATCTCACTGATGGGAAAATGCTCATTTACACAGTTTGTAAATTCAGGGGATACGTTGACCACAAACACAGAGAAGTCAGAAGACTAGCAGAATGACAAATCGCCAAGGCAGCACATGGCACGGAAGAGGCACTTGACAAACAGACACTGAACCCAAAAATGTCTGTTGAGGGAATAAACAGCTCTGCTGCAGTAGCCAGGGAGGTGACTGCGTGATTCCCCCTCCTCCCACTGCACTGTCTCCAAACTGTCTTAGTGAAGCGCAAACCCGTTGTTAAAAGCCTAGGATCACCTGCTGCCTACAAAGTCCCATCCCAAAGGCTTAGTGTACAGAGAGAGCTCTTCCCAAGCTGGCGCCAGGCTATCTTCCAGTCCTTGTTTCCCCCACCCAACCTCAGTGCCATGCAGGACACACTTTTCACTGTGTTTGACAGGCACACTTTTCACTGTGTTTCACAGGCCTGGTCTGTCATGCCTCCAAGCAGTTGACACATCATTCCCTCTATCTGTAACGCTCTTCCTTCCTGCTAGGCCTGATCTCGCAACCATCCTTCCCAGCCACATTGGCCGTCACCTGCCCCAGAGAGACCTCCCGGATACTGCAGAGAAAGGTGGTCTCCAGCACTGCTGTCACCCATCAGCCACTGCTCACCCAGCACCTCTGCCCCTGGGTGGCAACTGTGCAACACCCCAACCCCTGCTAGTCCTACAGACTCCTCGGTGGTGGGGTCATGTCTCCTTACTGCCCACAGCTCCTGGCAGCCGGGTAATCAGTAAGTATTTGCAGAATGCATGCTTTTATGCAGTCACTACACAAGCTAATATTCAATCTCACACTGAATAATTAACCTTCCAAAGGTTATTACAACTTCTGATAAGAGAAACATGGCTTAAAGTGTCAAATATTAACAAAACTAAATAATGTTAAAAACAGTCTGGGCACGGTGGCTCAAGCCTGTAATCCCAGCACTTTGGGAGGCCGAGGTGAAGGATTGCCCAGGCCCACGGGTTGGAGACCAGCCTGGGTGACTTGGCGAGACCTCATCTCTATAAAAAATCAAAAAATTAGCTGGGCATGGTAGTGTGTGCCTGTAGTTCCAGTTACTTGGAAGGCTGAGGCAGAAGGATCCCCTGAGCCCAGCAGGTTGACTCTGGGGTGTTGTGAGCATGCCACTGCACTCCAGCCTAGAGCAGCTCAAAAAATAATAATAATAAATAATGTTAAAAATAGACTTCCATTGACTGTGCCCAGGGATTTATTTTCCTGTTGTCTGAGACTGAAAGCCCAAAGTACCGGTAGATCTGTTTGCCCATCAGAAAAAAGAAAAAGGGAGGCAAGGAAAAAGAAATAATGGGTTAATTTCCACATTTAAAAAGTATGCATATTTATATATGGGGGTTCCAAAAAACATGTATACACATTTTAAGAAATGTTATCAATGTATTACTTTTTTGAAGTTGAATTGAATTATAGTAGCAATATGTAGTATGAAATTTGCTCAAAGGATAACATTCATCTTGTTATTGGTATATATTGAGTATTACAATTTTAATACTGTTTTTTCCTTTCCTAAAGTGTGGATACACTTTTTGGCACTGTGTGTATGTGTGTGTATAATTTGTTTTCATCAACTGAGAAACTCAAAGCTAAGGCTACGTAGACACACATACACTTGTTTAAATATAAGCTTTCACCTAACAACCAGTTATGATAAAGACAATGAAACAAAACCAGTTCTTAGTCTCAGAAAATTATCTGGGCACTCATTGAATTCAACCTGCTCATAATTCAAATTTGTTTTTGTTTTTAACCATGGCCTAGAAATGCTCTAAACAAGTCAGGGTCCTTCTCAGAACACATGCGCTACCAAGGCTATAGGGACAATACTTGGCCTGAGATAACAGCTCAGAGCTGCAAAAGCACCTATGAGGTGGTGGGGACGGCTGGCCTCAGCAATGTGGACCCGAGGGGTCTTTTTTAGGCTGTGTCTGGCTTCCAGGTGATTTCATCATTGCCTCTGCCGTGTCTCTGCCACGGGTTGTCACGCCAACTGTCTGTAAACCCCACTGTCAGATTCTGGCTGCCTCACACCTGGGGCCTTCTGTTTCCTCGTCTGCTATCTCTGGCCTTACCATGCCTCCTCCTTTTTTCTCACCTCTTGGCTTCCCACCTTCCCTTCTGGGATCTCTTTCCCAGTTCCCTCTGGGATCTCTTTCCCAGTTCCTCCTCACTAACAACGTTTCCCCTTTCTCCTATCTTCCCCTACCCACTTCCCAAAGGCACACCCCTCCAAGCCTGGCCTCTGTCTTGGCTCCAGAACTACAGTCACTTCCAGTGCCTCACTTGATGTTGCTTGCCTAGTCAACCCGCCAGAACTCTGAAATTACACCTACCTCTGAAAGTAATAACCATCCCACAAAATTAAGTCCTCCCTTGAGACTTCTACCGGCTGTTTGTATCACTCAAGCTCAAATCTCTCTATCACCTTTGACTCCTCTCTTCTTCATAGACTCCTTCACCCACTTCCCCACCACCACTTCCCAGGTCATACTGCAACTCTGCTAATTCTTCTTTTAGTAAACATTTCTTTCAGTCACTGCACTCTTGAGCCCACTGGCACAACCTTGTCAGACTCTATGTGTCTCTAGTGTAACCTTGGTGAAGGTTCCTCCTTGAACCACCCCTCAGTGGGATTATTCAACATTTAGAGGATGAGGTACAGGGTTTCTGTTTGATTTTCGAGGCCCTTCGTAAATTGGTATAGATATATCCCACTAGGTCACTCTAAACAAATCCACTAACCCTTAACCAAATTCCAAAAGCTCTGAAAATCCAACTATTTTTTTATAGTTCACTGGTTAGCAAAAACTGAGCCAAACCAACAAGAGGTCAGTTATTATCTTCATGGATTCCACTTGATGCTGTATAAGTAGAAACAGTTTGCTTACGTTCCAGGTATTTCCTGGACCCTGCTAGGACTGTAATGTAATATATTACATTCATAATAGGTATTATATTACCCTTCTAAAATCAAAACCTTCTGATTTCTGAAGCATATCTGAGTCCAAGGATTTTTGTATAAGCGATTGTAGACCTCTAGCTATTCATATTTCACACTCAGGTCAAAGGTGCTGAAATAAATGCTTTTGGTATATACTATATCTGTGCCTTAAGATAGAACATCTGGCTGAAATACCTGTTTTTCTCCCTTTTTAGCCTCTGCTCACTGAGTTTCTTCCTATGGTCAAGGCCAGTTACTATAAATATAGGTTCTCAATAAATAATTTTTTTTTTTGAGTCACCTTCCAACTAGCTAGAAGTATAGACACACGCCACCACACCCAGTTAATTTTTTGATTTATTGTAGAGACGAGGTCTCACCAAGCTGACCGGGCTGGTCTTGAACCCTCAGGTTCAGGCAATCCACTTGCCTCGGCCTCCCAAAGTGCTGGGATGGCAGGCTGAGCCACCGAGCCCGGCCAAGCCATATTTTTAAAGAATCCTTTGTTTTCAAAATTTCTTGGATTTTGGAATTGTGGGAAAGGGTCTATGGGCCTGTATCACATCTGTGAGGATCTTCCCTTGATGAAAGAAAGTAAGGAAAGGCAGTAGGAAAGCATTTGAAACTTATGCCCATCTATTAGGTAATAAGTTCTTGAACAGCACACAATGAGTCTTCTTTATCGTGTGCATTGCAACCCTGAGAACAGAGTTTAGAAACAGCTTAACTTACTTTTCCTTATCCATTATGCTTAGGATATTCAAATTTGAAAAACCTGTCTCAAGTAAATGGTCAAAATAACTTTGCCCTCACGATCTAATATTTGCTTAAATATTTGCTGAATATAAAATGAGTAAAATTTAACTCTTCTTGTTTTATTTATTTGCTTATTTCTGAATCAATATCTCACGTTGTTGCTCAGGCTGGAGCGCAGTGGCACAATCACAGCTCACCACAGCCTCCGACTCCTGGGTTTAGGTGATTCTGTGTCAGCCTCCCAAGTAGCTGGGACTACTTGGCATGCAAAACCACATCAGGCTCATTTTTAATTTTTTTGTAGAGATGAAGTCTCGCTGTGTTGCCCAAGCTGGTCTTGAACGCCCAGGCTCAAGTGATTCTCCTGCCGCCACCTCCCAAAGTGCTGGGACTACAGGCATGAGCTACCATACCCAGCTTAACGCTTTCAATAGATAGTATCAAGCAAAACAATGCCGATCTGAAATTGTCCCTCTTATAACATAACTCTGAAAGAAAAACAATTCTTGAAGATGGCCTAGTGATTTTGAATTAAAATACATGTTACAGAAATCTATCATGCTGACTAGCCACACTTTTAGTGCCATTTTTCTGTTTAAAAACCCATAGTGATCTTGTATGCACACTCCACATCGACTTCTGTATTACACCATGAAGGTTTACTAGGAGCCCAGTTCAACATGGTCTTTTCAGTCAAGTGAAACCCACACTGCAGAAAGATTAACACTGTTACTATTCTCGGAAAAGAAAGTCATTAAATCAAGCTAACATTCAATTTTAAATTTCTGATGGAGTTACCCCATGCTTAATTTGGGTTTCACATTTTACAAGGCAACATGAGTTTAAGTTACTACATGACAAATCTAGAGTTTTACTCTTTTAGCTTCTTTTATTAGCTTTAAAATATTGCTTTTTCAAAACAAATTCATAAGAAACTCCAACAAGCAAAACAGACCCAGATGGGATGATTCTGGGTGAGCACATGCCAGCTGCAGCAGGAGAGTCCTGGGACCCACCCGTGCCAGTGTCCTCCTCAAAGCCTTCTAGAAATGCCGGGATCCCAGGAAGAGTCTGGAAAGCACTGTTCTAGAAAGACCCCAATAGCGGTTGGCTTTTCTTTTTAAGTAAGTTAACTTTTTTCATATTAAAATGTTTAATTTGTATTTATGTTTGACTATAAAAGCAATATGAGGCAGTGCCAACAGTGAAGGGAAAATAATAAATCCCCTTGAGTTCCACCTCCATAACAAAGTCAGCATCATTTAATGTCCTCTGCCTCTTTCAGAAGACTATTTTGACACAGCGGTGATCATCCTCAAATCCCGATCTTTCCTGTTCTTCCCACAGGCTTCCCGTTTCAGCTTATGGAACCTGGAGTCCTCCCCTCTCTCCATCCCATACCCAGCAGTCAGATGTCGCCCTCAAAATACATCCAGTACCTGCCTGGGCATGATTCGATACCCTGGTGTACTCTAAAGAATGGTCCTGTAAAAATGGCAGCCAGACCTCACCTGCAGTTTTCCTACCTCATTTAGGGCCAAAGTGCTTACAACAGTCTGCAAGACCTCACAAACCCACCCGGCCCTACTCTCTGACTTTGCTCCTGGGACTCTTCCCCAGCCCACTCCCCTAGATCTGCATCCCTGGAACACACCTATGGCCTCCAGCCTCATGGCCTGAAGACTGGCTACTCCCCCTGTCTGGACACCCTCCCCCAGTCCATCTCTTACCCTCACTCTTCTCTTCCTTTTGAGCTCTTGAAAACTCACTGCATTAGAGAGGCATTTTCTGACCACCCTATATAAAATAGTGACTCCTTCTCTCTGTCCTTCCCCCAGCCAACTCTGTTGTTCTCCATGATGATTATCACCACTTGCTATATTGTGTTCAATCCTCTACGTGTATGAACAATCCCATCTAACCCCCCAACTAGTTAACTGTATTTCATCGATGATGTTCACTACATCTCTAGTACCTAGAACAGTGACTGGCATATTAGGGGAATTTAGCAAATACTCAATTCATTATCAAATAAATCTTCTTTATTTTTGTATCCCCAACTACAGTATTTAATGATTGTTCAATTCCATCACAGGGATGAGTCGTTCATTATGTTTTTCACCATTTCCTACTCTTTGACATTTAGGTTGATCTCTCTCCTCTCCCCCTGCCCCAACAATGCGGTCCTAGACATGCCTCCAGTTTATAAGTGAGGGGTTGTGAACAGATGTCAAAGGCACTTCCCATCAAAAGCAGAGAACCACACATGTTGGTGTCCTCAGGTCACCACTGTGGACAGCACCCTCTCAGCCTGACGCTGACCTGAATTAATGTGCTCAGCACCCAACTCACATCTTTTCCACTTTCTCCTAATCCTACTGTCACGTGCACTCAGTCATAACTCAGACTCCTTAGCTTCATGGCTTGGCAACCTTATTCCTCCACTTCACTTGTAACTTCAGTGCTGAAGCAGCAAAGCTGCACACTGGAACGACAATGCACCATCTGGACCTGCTTCCAACTCTTTACTTTTAATGTGCGCCACTGCATGCACCCCTGACCTGGCTCCCTGGACTTCCCAGAGGCCGCCTGCTTCCCAGGGCTTTGAAGCTTTGTTGAGCACAGGAATTATGGAGAAGTGACCCTGAATACCATGTGCTAAATAAATAAAACGTTTCCCCATGTATTGTTCCTCTTCATTTTTAAATGTATAGCAATGTTGTTATGATTTACAAAATACTAATTTACTTATCAGGTTACACCGAACTTTAGTTCATCATATGCAGTTCATTAATACATTTTTTAAATGTATGGTTCCTAGACTAAACAATACTGGGGTTCATTGCTCAAGATCCAGCTTAACTTATCAGGCTCTTCAGCACCTGCTAGCCACACATGACTCACATCCAGACACAGGCGCTGGACTCTCACTCCCCATCTCCTAAACAGTACGTGAGAGCCTTGGCCTTGGCTTCCAGCCAAATGGTCATGATGCAGATCACAAATCTGAATCATAAGCACTGAGAGGCTTGATAAACGGGAACTGCTTTGGGCAAGTCACTTACTATCTCCAACCCTGAGTTTCCCCATTTGTAAAAAGGAGATCATCTTACTACCCAGAACTGCAAGTACTTGGGGCAGTGATGGACAGAGTCTGCACATAATAACTGTCAGCTTATGATTTTACTAGAGTTATCTATTATGGCAATTACTTATGCCATATCTGATCATTTGCCAAATCCTTCTTCATTCTCACCACCATAATTTAAGCTCATTGATCATTAATTTATTCCTCAAGTATCTAGTCCTTCTTGTAGATTATTAGATTATGATTTCTGAAAATTCACAGAGCACAAGTCCATCCAGAGTCCTTCAAGATTTTTAACCACATAAAGTTCCAACTCCCCAGCATAACTGCCTGTATCTTCTAGTCTTACATCATAAGCTGCACCTTAGCGGATGATGATGTCTAAACGTTTAGAAACGGTTGGTGCCTTCCCCTGCCAGCAGCTCTGTTCACTGCCTTCATCAGCAGTGTCTTCCTCCTGCCTAGCCCAATCACATTACTTCCGGACCCAACCCAGACGCACCCTCCGCAGAGGCCCTTCTGGATTGTCACAGGGGATGCCCTCCACCTCCTGTAGAACATCTGCATCCCCACTGACCTGCGTGTGCCGCGCACTGTTCCGTTACCAGGCATGTTTCGTCTTCGCTGCTAGCATTCCTAGGAAGCAGGGGTCTTGTGTGCCACGCAGGACAGGCTCTCAAGAATACATGGGGCATGGTGACTTCCAACAGAAAGTCAATCCACGCTCACTATGCCACGCGACAGACAACACAGCAAAGCTCAAGGCTAACAGGCTCTGCCACCTCACACAGCACTTACCGGCCTCAGATCTAGTGAGTCCCTGCTCAGACTCACTGGAAGGGCGAAAGAGTCTGAAGTGGGGTCTTAAACCATGGATTAAATTCTGGTGACTTCTACAGTGATTAAAATAACCTGGAGAAATTGAGAGGGTTTTGTTTTTTACAAAGTAACATGTATATCAAGTTTTCTGTGCTGGAAAGCAAGGCTGATTGTTTTTTAAACCAAGCCAGGCTATAAAATCAGCCATAAGATTCTGAGCAACAGAAAACCACAGAGCTTTAAGACAGACTCAGAAAGAATAGTCACTATGCAAGATGTGGGAAGTCGGGTGTTTGATGATATAAGCTTGAATATATATTTCTGGATGAGTAGAGAAATGAAATTTCTTTTAAGAAAAGATCATAAAGTCTGTCTAATGCCTTTCTCTTTCCTTTACAGCTTGGCATGTTTTAGACACCCTTAGTCTTTCTGCTACCACTAGAAGCATGAACTGTGATTGTTGTGACTATTTTATGTGAATAAAAAACAATCAACCTGTCCTAAAAGGAGGCCAACAAAGCCGAAAATGGCATGACCTTAAGTAGGACAATACGGCAACCTTTCAACATTGATCATCCCACTCCGTTCTAGAAAGGTAAATTCAAAAACAGGTATAAAGTGTCTGACTGTGGCGGAACAGGGTGTAGTGAAGACAAGTCCTGGCGAGGACCACGACTTACTGGAGGCGCTGTCAATGCTGCTGACGCTATCTGCGTTGCGCAGGTGGTGCCGGTGGAGCTGCCGGTAGATGCTAAACTTGGAGAACTTTCTTGGCTTTCCTCCCCCTTTCGTTTTTGCATCCATGTCATCAACATTCTTCATGGTGGAAAGGTTCTTATTTGGTTCACTTTTGTCTTTGAGGCTTAAAGATTCCATAGACTCTGTTGTTGCAGCCTAAGAACATTATTTTTTAAAAAAGACATCGCATAAGCCATTCTGCAATGTGGTTCTTTAATGCAAATAGGGCTGAGGTGTAAAGTGAACAAACGACAGAGGCTACATCGCAGTAATGCCTGAAGTCAGCCACCAGAGAGTGGCGAGATCCCGTGAGCTGTTCAAACACCACCAAAGACATACCACGAGTTCCACCATGCACCCTCTTTCAATAGGCCGCTTGCTTGAAATTTCATTCCAATGAACCTTTCTATCTCAAATACAACACATGAGTAACTTTCACTGTGGAGCTCCTCAACTTGGTCCTCTGATAAACATTAAGTAAGCAATGTTTCTCCTGTCAATCACTTTTCCTGTTACCTATGTTGTCACTATGCAACATGTTGTCACTATGTTGCAATTTTCTCAGCTAAGTTACCAACATATCTAGCAGTTAATAAGATGGAGCCTATCAAAGTTTTAAACTAGTGCATTCATATTTTGGTAGCCACTTCACTGAAATAGCAATCAGATTGATATACACATATAGATTTTTGGTAGCTCTTGATTTAAGAGGTACTTTGAGCGGTTATTCACTTTTTTCTCTAAAGATCAACCCATCTTGTTTTTATAAGTCTTTAAGTAGGAAGTTTCCAAAAACCGTGGCAGCTACTTTTAACAAGACTTCTGACTGTTATTTGACCTAAATCTTGACTGCCACACGTTTTTGTTTAAGAACCTTTCTTCCAAATAAAAAATAAATCTTTATTTTAAATGGGAAAAAAAGGAGCTGAGTATGAGATAGCAAATGTTCGGTTGAATCTGTCTTCTCTACTTACTAGAGAAGAAACTGAGACTCTGTGAGGCTAAGTTAAAACTAGCGAGGTAAGGAGGCTGGTATTGAAAATCAGATTTGCCTCACATTTTACTCAACGTTCTTTGGCCCCCAAGGAAGATACTGCCTCTCACTCAACCAGTCAGTCAAGTGATGTTCACGTAATGCAATCCTGTAAAGGTGAGAGTCACTCACTGGGAGGGAACCCAGAGATGGTCCTGAGGTGACCCGCTTCACACTGCCCACGTCTGTGAGTCTGTGTTCGTTGTCATCCCACCGTCCGTAGGCCAGGTCGATCCCACCAACAAAGGCCACTGATTGGTCAATGATGATGAGCTTCTCATGATGAGCCCAGAGGTAGATGCTGGAAGACACATGATCCGGGTGCCTCATTACCTTGAGAGAGAGAAAAAAAAATCCCACCACTTTAAAAATGTCCTTCCTGTCATACAAAATAGGTCTATTATCTCCCTAAAAAGGTATTTTTTTGTAATTTAAATGCCAAAATGTACAATGTATACACCAAAGAACATCTCCCAATTATTCTCAATATTTTATTCTCAATATTTAAGATAGAAAGACTCCTATTTACTTTTTAAGTCCCCCTACCCATATGCCTTAACTTGGGGCAGCTGTCATTTAGCTTGAAGTTTGGTTACACATTAGATAGAAGTCAGTTCACTTTGATAGCTGGTTCCCTTTTCCCGCATGAGGATTATGCCATATTTGGCATCTTTTAAAATTCTAAAAATATTTAACCAACAACCATTTCTGAAAAAATTGTAATAAATTGCACTGATATTTTAGCAGTCATTGAGTTGAAACACTGTGCTAAGAATTTGAATACAGGCATGTAGATTTTTTGGCAGTTCTTTATTTATGTATTTATTACCCAGAAAAACTGCTTCTTTTATTTTTTATTTTAAAGATGTGGGGTACAATTCAGAGTTAGGCATACAAATGCTCATTATGCACGTACCTTTGCTGATGAGGTGTGCCCAGTCTTCCCTCCACCCCACCCCTGCCAGCAGTTCCCACTACTGCCAATTCCACCCTCACCCCTCCCCTGGACTTTGAGAAGCTAGTGATCTCCTGCTTTCAAATAGAATTTCCTGAACGACCCCAGGCTAGTCTATCTTATTTTCATTTTCATTTGCCCTTATGTAAAAACTGTATAAAATCTTTGGCAGCTTTTTAAAAAAATTAATAGCACACTTTTATGAAGGTAATATACACATAACATAAAATTTACCAACTTATCTGTTTTAAAATGTACAGTTCAATGGTATCAGAGCAATGAGTTAGACAGTCTTCTTTCCTTTCCGTTTTAAAATAAGTTTTAGAAAGACCAGTGTTAGTTCTTATTTAAACGTTTTAAATGTTTGGTAGAATTCACCAGTGAAGCCATCAAGTCCTGGGCTTTCCTTTCTCCAAAGATTTTTGATTGCCATTCAATCCCCTTACTAGTCATAGGTCTATTTAGATTTTCTATTCCTTCATGGTTTAGACTTGAAAGGTTTTGTGTTTCTAGATATTTGTACATTTAGTCTATGCTCCACTTTCATTTCTGATTTTTGTAACTTGAGTTTTCTTTTTCTCTTAGTCTATGTAGCTAAAGGTTTGTCAATTTTGTTTATCTTTTCAAAAAATCCACTTTTGGTTTAGTTGATTTTCTGTATTATTTTTGTATTCTCTATTTCGTTTATCTCTGCTCTAATCTTTATTTCCTTCCTGCTGCTAGATTTAGGTTTAGTTTGTTCTTCTTTTTATACTTCCTTAAGTTGTAAAGTCAGGTTCTTATTTTGGGGTCTTTCTTCTTTTTGTAGTAATGTCACCCTTTGTAAATTTCCCCCTTTGCACTGTGTCCCACAAATTTTGTTATGTTGTTTTATTTTCATTTGCCTCTGAATATTTTTTATTTCCTTCGTGATTTGTTCTTTGATCTACTGCTTGATCACATGTGTTATTCAATTTCCACAATTTGTGACGTTTCTAGTTTTCCTTTTTTATTGATATTTAACATTTTATTATTGTGGTCAGACAGATCTTTGTATGACATCTGCCTTTTAAAAACTATTAGGACTTAATGTGTAGCCTAACAGACAGTCTCTCCTGGAAAATGTCCCATGTGCACTTGAGAAGAATGATGTATTCTGTTGTTATTAAGTAGAGTGTTCTGTACATGTCCATTGAATCTAGTTGGCCTTCTCTGTTGCTCTTCCATTTCCTTACTAACTTTCTGTCTGGTTGGTCTACCCGTTACTGAGAGGGGGGTGTTGAAGTCTCCAACTATTATTGTAGAACTGTCATTTTTCTCTCTTCAATTTTGTTAGTTTTTGCTTCACATATTTTGATAATCTGTTATTAGGTGTTCATATGTTTACAATCTTTATGTCCTCTTGCTGTACTGAATCTTTTGCTAATATACAATGTCCTTCTTTGTGACTTGTAATCTTTTTTGATTAAAATCTATTTTGTCTGATATTAGTTGAGCCATTCCTGCTCTCTTTTGGCTACTATTTGTATGGAATAGTCTGTCTTCTCATGTTCACCCTATTTGTGTCTTTGCATCTAGAATGAGTCTTTCAACCATATAGTTGAATCATGCTGTTGTTGTTGTTTTAATCTGTTCTACCAATCTGTCTTTTGATTAGAGAGGCTGATCCATTTGCGTTTAAAGTCATTATCTATAGGGAGTGACTTCTGTCATTTTGCTATCTGTGTTCTCTATGCCATAGGGCTTTTTTGGTCCCTTACTTCCTGCATTACTATCTTTTGAATTAAGTTGATTTTTTTTTGTAGCGGAAAGTTTAAATTCCTTTCTTATTTCTTTGTGTGTATATTCTATGGCTATTTTATTTGTGGTTACTGTGGGGATTACATGTAACAGCCTAAAGTTGTAGCATTCTGGTTTCACTTTAGACGAGTTTAACTTCAACAACATAACAAACTCTGTTCCTTTAACAGCTCTGCCCCACCCTCTCCGCTGCAGATGCTGCAAAATTGCATCATTGGTAGGTGCTTGACAGAGATTTGGTGAACAAATAAATTATGCAACTCAATAATTCATTCTCAAGGGGAGGGCACTTTCCTTTCATAACCAAGTGAAATACACAATTGTCATGTGCTTTAAGCCTTCTGGAGATGGATTAATTTATTATATCTTGATGTATCTCAATGACTGGGTGATATTTAATGACAGGCCTTAGGTCTTTGGTAAAATATCAGAGTGTTTTCAAATAGCTTACCATGTTTATTTACTTTATTAGTGTTTTATACTAGGTACTATTGATTTTTTTAAGCACTTTAAATACCAGGGGAGATCGCTTTGCTGTTATCAGTGATCAGGGAATGTCACAGGAAGATCACCTCTAAGAAGTTTCAGGATAATCTTAATGAGAAGTGTGAGAACCTGAAGCAAAACACATCTGAAAAATGCCCACAGAATAACCAGGAAGAAACACTGGTGCCCAGGATGAACCTGAATACCTTTATGTTGGGGTGGAGACGCATCAGAGTCCTCTTGCTGTACTCACTATTGATCCCGAGAGCCAGTTCGACCTCTTTGTAGAGCATGACGAAGATCCTCACCCCCTGTTGCTGTTGCAAGAGAAGACATGGTGGAATAAGCATCTCTGGAGGGAGGTTACGATTTTCCTTTTCCTTTTCTTTTCTGGGTACTGAACTTTCTTATATAAACAAGTATAATAAAATATTTAGTGAAAAAGGCAATACAAGGAGGTTATAAGTAAGTGTGCATTGAGATACAAATAGCAAAAATAAAAATTTATTCCCCTTCCATTCTTAAAACTTGTCATACCGAGAAAGAGTGCCAATAATTGATTAGTTATAGATTGAGAATGCTGAAAGTATAACCTCAGCTGCTTAAAGTGTCTGACAGTCTTACAACTTTTAATATTCTCAAACATTTGTCATTACGTTAAGTTTTGACCTGATTCATGTTACAGAATTAGGAGTTTGTTTGAGTATTCACTTCCATTATACCTCAATTAGCTGAAAAACCAGTGATAAGACCCTTTTACATGGTAAAGTATGCTAAATATCCCTTAAATATTTCATGGAGGTATTTCTTACAGAATTTTTCTTTATTGAAAAATGTACTTAAGTAGAAAAAGCATTCCTTAATTTTCAAAGATGAATGCATGGGTTCATCCTCTTAACCTCATAATTAGATCATTAATGTCTGTTTTACCAGTGAAAGGACTTTTTCAGAAGTCAAGCTTCTCTAATATTCAAAAATCCCTGAGTTTTAGCAGGTACTTAGTATAAGATGGACACACAAGTTAACACTGATCCATACTCAGACCTTGGACCTGAAAGAAAAAAGACAAGGCCATTGTGACCCACTTAACTGGGTCAAAATAAACCACAATTGCCTGGTAGACGCTAACATGCTATGCAAATAACATTATGAATGTCATTCATCAAAAAGACAATGTCTAATAGCTAGCAATATAGACAAGCACTATTATTTTCCCTTCTAGCTCTGGCCGACGACAGGCTTTGAGCCTAGAATAAACTGCCCACTCCAGAGCATCTCCCCTTCTCCTGCCCACTCACATGAACCTCACTTCACACACAGCTCAGAAGGCATTGCCTCCAGGAAATTCTGTCCTATTTACTCCCATTCTGCACATTGCTTTTTAACTCTTTAGATTTGAATCCTCAGTAATTTAGTGCAGTCTGTACATTTTGATTTGTATTCTTTTTACCCAGCACCTCTGAAAACATTCTGGAACATACTGCATGCAAGCTAGATTATGTATCTAAATTACACATCAGCAGTATTTAATATCCTAGAGATTAAATGGAAGAATTTTCCCTTAATTTACTTTCTAGAGTCTTACTAGCACAAGTGTATTCATACACTATAATAACAAAATATACTTTAATTACAGTTTTAATGAATAATCTATGGTAATTAGTCATTGTTCATAGCAGAAATTTGATTGTGTCGAACACATCTAATTCATAATAGCTGAAAATTTTTGCAATGCTATACGAGGGAAATAACATGGGAGTTAACATGCTAAGTTCTAGATAATAGGATATAAAATATTGGGCAAACCAAACACATACACATTTTCCCAATACTGTTCTGCCAATACTAAGAAGCATGTTTTGGCCCCTAAATTCCTTAGAATAACACATCATTTCAAAATACTAATACCTTATCTCTTGGTATTAGTAATATATTAAAAGTGTATACATTTTGGGGGTACACACTAGATTGATATTCTGGTGTACATAACGGAGATTTGAGTACTACTGGAAGACCCATTCAAGGAAGCAGGACCATGAACGTGTATGTTGCTCCTTTTTGTTGTTGTTCTTAAGAGCTGGCTTTTGGAACTCATTTATTATTATTATTATGCAACTATCTATTATTATAATCGAGTATATAAGTACAGATTTGAGCAAAGAAATTGAGAGTATAGTCAAGATGTGAACAGATTAATTCTAAGGGTCTGGCCGGAAAGCACTCTGCAATGAACCACTGATGGAGGGCTGTAAAGTTACAAGATTATGTTATTTGTATCCACCTCTGTTCATATCCATTTTGCTATCTGAATATTTTAAGATTCAACACTGAATAATGGTGACAAAAAATAGTCTCCCATTGAAAGACATAATACAAAGTGTAAAATCCCAAATTTCAACCTAAATTATAGAACATGGCACCTAACATGAGAATCCTATGGTTTCTCATTTGCCCGCATAACTAGTGGACTTCTGAAATAATAGAGATGTTAAAACGAATATATTACGTTATTACTCTCCATGTATTAATACCTGACATTTTTCTCTATACCGTGTCTTTTCTCATTGAAACAAATTAACTCTAAAGGAAATAGGGTAGAGGTGTTTAAGTCTTTTTAGCCTAAAGACAAATGATTAATAAGAAAGTAATTACTTTAAAAGTTCATTTTTATGTGTTTTACGATTATCTATAGCAATAATAAACAGTTAATTAGTGACAAGATTCTTGCAATAATAAAGCAATACATCCCTCTTCTTTTGGCCAGGGTATAAAGTCTAACTTACAAAGGGCAAAGGAGAATCATTCCTTGGGAATGAAGGCATTTTCCAGGTTATACTAGTGGGGTTTATATAAAATGTAGAAAATACTTCTGCAAATCCAAACTCAATTTTTCAAAAAAAACCCTGATGTTAATTTTGTAACTTAAAAAATATACTTTTGAAACACCCCATGTTTTAATGTCAGTAGTGTTTGTAGGGTAAATTACTTTTTGCTTACAGAAGGGTAAGGAAGGTATTACTAGAAACAGAAGAGTAGATAGCCTGGAGTTGATTATGCAATGTCATGTGTCTTATCTCTGCTGAACCAAACTGACTCAAAAGTTCCAGAGAATAAACTCCATGAAACATGAGTTTCAAAAGATGAAAGTTCTTTCCTCTTTTCTAATTAGTTTCTCATCAAGTAGAGGAGACACAACACTATAAACAGTAGGAATGTTTAGGGCCTTTTTTTTTTTTTGAGTTGGAGTCTCACTCTGTCTCCCAGACTAGAGTGCAGTGGCCACTCCCAGCCACCGCAGCCTCGACCTGCTGGGCTCCAGCGATCCTTCCGCCTCAGCCTTCCAAGTAGCTGGAATTACAGGCGCGCGCTACCACGCCCGGCTAATTTTTTGATTTATTGTAGAGATGAGGTCTCACCAACTTGCCCAGGTGGGTCTCGAACCCGCGGGCTCAGGCAATCCACTCACCTCAGCCTCCCAAGGCGCGGGATTACAGGCTGAGCCACCGAGCCCGGCTAGGATCTTTAAGTATATAATATAAATGGGGAGACAATGAAAAATAAAAAATTGATAGTAGAAATCACAGAGTCTTTGTTTCCTGGCCAGCTTTTTCTCTGATTGTTCTAAGTAGTGCAGTGAAAATGTTTTTCTAAATGCAGCCAAGCTTGCCTACTGCCTAAAGATAGCTTAACTCACACTTCCACTTCCATTCCCAGGATAATCACTAATTGTATCACTTGCCAAGGACTTTCCCAAGGGTGCAATATATTAGCAAAATTCAAAGGAAAGGATAAAAAGAAATTGTATACTCACCATTTATAAGCAGGCAGCAATGGGATTTAAGAGCACAAAAGTTCATGTGTCTTTTTTTTTTTAACCAATTTTGTTTAAAGCACATTCCTGAGGTTGAAGATATCCTCTCCCCTTTCTGCAAGCCATTCTAGCCCACCACTTTGACAAGATTCTGTTTGATTTTCTGTGCAGAGATGTGATTATTCCTTTCACTTCTCAGACCTGGATATCTTTCCCTTTTATTAGTCACTGCAACTCTAGAATGTGCCTTGTGGTTCAGGGCACAAAGAAATCAACCTGAACACAAATTGCTTTTGATAACCTAAACTTTTTTCTGTAAGTCTCCAGGTTACTGCACTTGAAGATCCCTTTAGTATAACTCTCATAAGAAACAGCACATATTTATAAGGTTGAAATTCACAAAACTGGGGTGCAGGGTGTGGTCACCACAACTATGTTGCAACAAATTACCTCATCTCTTAGTGTGGTAAGTGTAGAACTGGGGGACCCCGGGATGCTGATTTCTGTGAGTTGCCTCTCAAGATCAGTTTATACTATTTTAAATGGTGACACTGCATATCAAAAGACCAAAGAAGTAAGAAAATATCAGCTTGGTTGTTACTACGGAAATAAAATATTGTATTTTTTTCTAAGAAACGGCCATTATAAGAGATATTTCCCTGTATGTTGCTACAAGGCAGAGACACTTCCTAAATTCCTCCTTTAAATGTGCAGAATAAGAAGGGGGAAAAAAACATTAATTTTAATCAACCCTGTGGACCTCTAGGACTCATAATGCAAAAAAGAAACATGTTTCAACCTCATACTTGTGAAGCTAGTGCACGGCTTTCAGAAACTAAATTATGTATGAAAAATCACGTTTATATGTATGTGAATGTCAATTTGGAATGATCTGAGTGTTAACACATTTATGGCCAAAGTAATAATATGATTTAGTAAGATTCAGGAAGAGCAATTCTGCAAAACGTGCCACTAAGAAATTAGTAATGTTGCTATTTCTTTAGAAAATTTTAAAAATCACTCCCTATCATTTAAAAGTTATAAGCTTGGCCGAGAACAGTGGCTCAAGACTGCAATGCTAGCACTTTGGGAGGCTGAGGAAAGAGGACTGCCTGAGCCCAGGGGTTTGAGATCAGCCTGAGCAACATGGCAAGATCTCGTTTCTACAATAAATCAAAAACTTAGAAAACTTAGCCTGGCATGGTAGTGCATGCCTGTAGTTCCGCTACTTTGCAGGCAGAGGCGGAAGGGTCACCGGAGCCCAGCAGGTCGAGGCTGCAGTGGCCATGAGTGTGCCACTGCACTCTGGCCTGTGTGACAGAGTGAGACTCTGACTCAAAAAATAAATAAATAAATAAAAATAAAAGTTACACGCTCCAGGAAGGAGATGAAGTGGAAAGGAAACAGTGTCATCAGGCAATTCTTGGCCCAGTGTTTGTTTGCTGGGGACCTCACCAGGCTCAGGGGCCAGAAAAGCAGAGTGAAGCCATGCTGGTGATAGAAAGGCTCCTGGAGACTATACCAAGGGCAGCAGACAAGGATGTGTCAACGAGCCAGAACCTGAGGCCAGGCCTGTAGGACCCTCCGGAGCCCTGCAGGGGCATTCAAGAGTGCTCTCACCTCGCACTCCAGGATCTAAGATGCAGCTTTCCAAGTGGAGTTCTTCCCACTCTCTTCTACTCTCACACTCACCTTCCCACACCATTTTGAGCAGGCCAGCCCTCCTTCACCACACATCCCACCGTACCTCCCCACTGTCTACCCTGAAGTCTAAAGCATCGCCTTGGCTCACAAAGCTTCCACGTGCTAGCTGCAATCTGCCATTCCAGCCAGATCCCCATGCTGCCTGTGCTAACACTAATCACCTTGCTCTGACTGACAAAGCCTTCGACATGTCTGTTTCTTCCTTCCCTTTAAAAAAATGCCTGTGTATCCCATCTACACTGTAACCTTCATGCTAGGAGGGGCTCCTGAACCAGACCTGCCCGATGCTTTGCTTCCCGCCTTTGAATCGTGGCACTGTCTCTGTAGCCAGTTGATGCTTGTGTAGACTTTTCAGCTCGTTCAGTTTAAGAACATGGTTTTTATTTATGTACATCCCCATATGATTGCCTGAATGCCTTGAATATTCTAGGCATTCAATAAATACATGTTGATTGGAACCTAAAACAGTGAAGTATTTGTTAAATATTAGAAGAAGAGAATTTACTAGTATGAGTAAAGAATACTGGACAAGGTTGCAAAAACTTAACTAAAATGGAATTTTAAGGGAAAGTGGGAGATGTGTCGTTTCACAAAGAGAAACATGAAGAAAGGTACAGCCCATTCAATAGGGAGAAGACAGACATTTGGTAAGGCTAGGGCTGAGCCCAGGACATGAGTCCTTCTGCAAGCTCTCCAGGTGCAGGGCTGGAACCCTGTTTACTGTGGCACCCTAGCAATTAGTGCAGTACCCAACTCATCAGAGAAATAACCATATGCTGAATTATGTAATGAGCATATGAATAATGTTTTCAGAATCACAACTTCCAATAACGTCACTAGAATTCTGTTGATACAACAAATTAGATGATCCATCAAAATGTTGTTTGGCAGAACATGCATCTGAAATAAAGATGATCAACTTCTGCCTTTAATAACAGCAGTGAGGTCTGACTATATCTATGGCTATCCCTGGAAATCCCAAAATACTCGGATGGGAAAAAGACATTGAAAGAAAAGAAGAGACCAGACTTTGGGAGGCCAATGAGCCGTGATAATGCCACTGCACTCCATCCTGGGTGACAGAGAGACCCAACTCAAAAAAAAAAAAAAAAAGAAAAGAAAAGGAAAGGAAAGGAAAAGGGTGAATAGGGAAAGGTGTAGTAGAATGTAGAGGACAGAAAAGAAGAAATGAGTGAAGACTGTGAGAAATAGAAAAATGCTAACTCCAGTTATTTAGGATCCATAAATTCTGATAGCACATTCAATGACAGATTTTAAAAAATGGTTAAGATAGTTTCAAACAATAGTATAAAGATTAGCACTCTCTAATTTTGACATGCTAAATAACTAATATAGATATATTTCTAATTTAACCTAATTTAATTTTGCTGAGGGTCCATTATATTTAAAAAATCACTAAAAATATAAATGAAGGCATTGGCAAGCTTATTCTGCTTCAGTTATTTACTTTTTACCATAAAAGGAGAACACTCAATGCTTACCCAGAACATTCAGGTCAACTTCACAGGAAACAGTTTCATATTATTACATATTATTACTATGAACTTTCCCAAAACTGGAACCCAAACACCACCAATTGCACAGTCCCCCCCCTGATATTCCTCTGTACCAGGTTGGCCCCATTTGACTAAAACCATTCTCCAGAAGGCTTTGTTTTGTGCTTACATGACAAAATAATGAAAAAAATTAAATGCCTGTTTCTTTTCATCATCCATTTACTCAATGAAATTTTATTACAATTTTTTTGGCTATAAAATTAACTGCTCATAACTAATTAAATAACAGAAACTAGTGATGGTAACATAATATATGCTGTGAATTAGGCTAAAATATTTACATACTCAAAAGTAATGGGAAAAAATAGAACAAAATGAACTAGAAAACATTAGTTATCCTACTCTTTGTCAAACTCTAAATTAAAAAGCTGTAAGCATATATGAAGGACTTTGAAAAGAAAAGGCATTGCAGAGGCAATAAACACTTAAAAAATTATGTCAGCATGGGCTGGAAAGTACGTACTGCTTTTCGTTTAAGAATGCAATCCAACCTCCAACGATTTCCTTCAACCACTGGGCGTTTCAGGAAAATTTCTGGACTCAACCTGAAATCATGAAACCAAGATTTCAAGTAACTAAAACAAACTGTAAAGTTCTGATTGTGTCACAGAACACAGAGGCAATTTTAGCCAAAGTTACAGTGGGACATCCAAAATTGTATTATGAGCCCAGATACAACTTCATATGGAGATGAGAGCCTTTATGCACGCAAGCATAGATTTCAATCTTTCTCTCTCTTCCTCTCCCTCTCTTTCTCCCCACCATACATGCACAAATGTACATACTTGCAGACATTGTTGACCGCCCACCCACTGGCCATTGTCCGCCTTCTCTTTCCTTGCTGTCAGAGCCCCTCTCCCACCACAGAGTCTGAATATCCTAAACCCCTGCTTTCCCAGACAGGTGAAGTATGATGTGGCACAATTCTGAACCATGAGATAGATGAGGAGGTAACCGAGAGTTGATGGGAAGTGTTCCTCCTTGGTGAACACACACATACACACATGAACAAGAGGAGAGAGTCCTGCTTCCCTCTGCCCTGCCCACACTTTCAGCTTCAGAACGGATGCTGTATGGAGCATGATGCTTAGAGAGACCAAGCCAAGCGATGTTGAAACTCTAAGAGGAAGACCACAGCCCCAGAACCACTAGGCCATTCCACCACCCTGGGATTGCCTCACTTGAGATTTTTCACTCACCAATGCAAATACATACTCAGTGTTTAAGCCCCCTTGAGATGAGCAATCTGCTACCCCAAACCGAAACATCTACCTGATATACACATTGACTTCCTATGGTGGGACACTGTGTCCCTGGGAACCAGTTTTCCGAGCAAAAAAGGATGTAGGTGGGTGTGCTGGTGTATGAAACTTTCCCATGCATATGTGGGGCTCTTCTCTCCTAGAGACATGAGACAGCCAAGAGCACAGCAGAATCATTTTTCCCTAGAGTCAGGTCCTAAAGTGAGTGAGTGAGTTAAAAGTGTACATGATGAAAATTCATTGTAATGAGAAAAAAAGAAAGAAACAGTAAAAAAAAAAAAAAAAAATTCTTCCACTGAACTGTTAGGCCTAAGAAACGACGTGTATCCTAAGCATGGATGAAAGCTTTATAGGATTCTAGACTAGAATATTGCCTTACTAGGAAGTTTTCTAAGCATGCAAAAACAACGGGGCTTTAAGGATCTAACAGATTAAAATAAATCATTTTATGCTCTGTTTTAGTCAGTTAAGAAAAATAGGAGGTCAGGAAGATGGCTGTCAAGCCAGTCAGATTATGCAAGTCCCCGAGTGAGTGAGAGAGTGCATGGAAAATCTTGTGTACGTGCTGGTGAGCAAGTGGGCCTATAAGTGACTGACTGAGTGAGGGCTAGGGAGCTAACGGCCAGAGCTCCCCTGGTGCAGTGGCTGGTGCCACAGTGGCTGGGCTTGGGCCCTAGTGATTCCTAGGATGCAGAAGTCAAGTGCCATGTTCTTTTTCTTTTTTTTTAATCAACAAACCCTCCCTGGGAAGAAAATGCTGGGAGAGACGGTCTAAGTGGGGTTCGTGAGCAAGGGGCCGGGCCCCTGGTGCAACAGCTGATGCTGCAGCTTCTCTGCTTCATTCCTGGCTCTTCCCAGGTTGCAGAAGTCAAGCGCCATTATTTTTTTTAAATGGACAAAAGGGCTGGAGATAAACCATTGCCCCAGGCTCTCCCTCACCAATGCTGCAGGAGACAGACTGCTGGCTCCTGGCTTTGCCTCACCACGTCAGCCCCTGGCAGGGCGCTGGTAGCAGGGCCTGCACAGGGAATCCAGAGGCAAGGTCCCACGGAAGAGGACAAGAGAGGCACCCACCACCATCTTGAAGGTGGAGCAGGAAGGTGCTCCAACTTACTCGCCATGGAGTAACAGACCCGATCTCTGTGACTGGTGGATCAACTACTCAGGGATTGATCGTGGCCCAGAGGGAACATCCTGAAAGCACAAACTTCAGAGGGACCTGAAAGTGCTGAATTCCAGGCGCACCACCCCTACTCTGATCCAGTCTCGGGACAAAGGGTGTGGCCAGAAAAGGATGAGGAAGATCTCCAAAGAGATCAGTGGTGAGTCTGGGGCAGAACCCAACCCCCTCCTCCCCATCAATCCTCTGGACATCAGACCCACACAGCTGAGAGGGACAAACCCAGGCAGAGCCTAGATATCAGTCGCAATAGAACTCCATTCCAGGATAGGCCTGGCTACGACAACCCACCACTACCACCACGCAGAGTGCGTACCTGGGGAAGAGACAATCCCGTACCTCCCCACCGGAGATCTCCCTGACCACAGGAGAGTGGGAGGGGAGGACTACAGCCTCACCCACCTCCACTGCCCCTCCTCCTTCCCTGCTGTGGACCCTGAGGAGTGAGTGAAACAGGTGGCTCTGCAGGAGAGACCTGATTAGACGAACAACTACAGAGCCTTCCACAAGAGGGCAGGGTTTTTTTATTTTCAGGTTTTTTAATTTTTAAAAATTTGTTGACTGTTTGTTCCTTCATTTGTTTTTAAAATATTTTCCCTTTGTGTATGAATGTGTATGTGAGGGGTTGATCTGCATACCAGCCAATTTTTTTTCTTTTATTTTTCTGTTTCTTCTTTTATTTGTCATTTTCTGTTTCTGTGTGTGTGTGAATGACTAAGTGTTCATCTTTCAATTTTGTTGCTGGTGGTTTTTGCTCTTTTGTTCTTCTGGTCTTTTTACCTTCATTTTTAATAGTTTAAGGCGGGTGTCAATATATGTGTGAGGGTTCAACCTGAATTCCTTTTTTTTTGCCTCCAGTCTTTGTTATGCTTCTCTATTCACTTTGTGCTAGGCTTGTGTGTGTGTGTGTGTGTGTGTGTGTGTGTGTGTGTGTGTGTTTAGTTTTCTTGGGGTTTTTTTTTTGTTGTTGTTGTTTGTTTTGTTTCACTTTGTTGTTATTCCAGTTTATTTTGGGGTATGTGTGTGTATGTCTATGTGTGTTTGTGTTCAGTTGCTTTTGCATTGGTTTCTGATTGACATGGTCATATAGAGTGGTGGTGGGGAGTGGGTTTCAGGGAAAACATGCCACAACAAGTGAACATTGTAATTTGCATGTAGTTTCTGATTCCTAGCGCCCCATCCCCTACTTTATTCGAATTTCAAAAACTACAAGAGACAGCAAAGCTTCCCATCCACCGTCCTACTTCAAAATAGAACAAATCTAGAGTCCAGATCAGGGAAGAATAGAAGACTGAGCAAATATCAGAAGGGAAAGCCTCTCCAACTGACACTGAATAAGAGAATTAAAGAGAAAAATGAGATCTGTCAAAATTAGGAAAAACCAAAGGAAGACCTCAGGCAATTTCAAGTGTACCAAAAACAAAATTCCTGAAAAATCAGACCTTGGTGCCCAAACAATGGAAGTCACCAACGACTGGCCCCAGAATACGACAGAGATTAGGGAATGGATGCAAAGAGTGAATAAGATGCAAGAAAGACAAGATGTAACACTGAAAGAACTTGTAACAGAGATTCTGGCAATACAAATTTTCATCCAGGAAATAAATAACAGGATGACAAGCATGGAAAGCCAAAATAATCTAGCTGAAGAAAGAATCTCAGAACTTGAAGACCAGAATGTGGAATTAACCCAATCTGTAAAAAAGATAGAAAGAAGACTCAGAAATAAAGAACAAAGCCTACAAGAGATGTGCGATTATATCAAGAGGTCAAGCCTATGCCTGATTGGTATCCCAGAAGAAAGGCAAATGGAGAACAACTTGGAGCAAGTATTCCAGGAGGTAATCCAAGAAAACTCTCCCCATCTCACCAGAGATGTGACCAGCCAAGCACAAAGGATACAGGGAACCCCCAGAAGACATCAAATGAGAAGACCAATTGCTAATTGCTAGACACATAGTAATTCGCCTACACAAAGTACACACAAAAGAAAAAACCCTAAAGGCAGCAAGAGAGAAAGGTCAGACTGCCTACCTGGGAAAACCAATCAGAATAGCAGCAGACCTATTGGCAAAAACACTACAAGCAAGAAGGGACTGGAGCCCTCTATGCAAAGTCCTCAAAGATAAACAATTTCAACCAAGAATTTCCTCTCCAGCCAAACTCAGCTTCATCAATGATGGAGAATTAAAATCCTTCCCCGACATCCAATCCCTAACAGATTATGCAGCTTTCCAGACCAGCTCTGCAGGCGGCACTTAAAAAGGTATTAAGCACAGAAAAGAAAAAAAAGAATGACCACACACTTCCCAAGAGAACAGCAGAGCAAATAATTAACAGAGAATACAGTGCAAGAAGAAACTCAAAAACACACATACATCAACCTCAGGGCAAAAGAAAACAAGCAAAGAAAAAATTTTATAAGAACCTCATGACAGCAAAAAACAATCACAGTTCAGTAATCAGCCTGAATGTGAATGGACTAAATGCACCACTGAGAAGACACAGAATGGCAAACTGGATAAGAAACCATGACCCAATTATTTGCTGCATCCAGGAGACTCATCTCAATACAAGGGACAAACATAGACTCAAAGTTAAAGGATGGAAAATGAGTTTCCGGCAAATGGATCACAAAAGAAGGAAGGAGTTGCAATCTTAATATCAGACAGAACAGCCTTTAAACTATCAAAAATTTTAAAAGATGCAAAAGGATACTATATAATGATAAAAAATTCAATCCATCAACAAGAAATATCCATCCCAAACATATACGCACCAACACAGGAGGACCAGCATTTAAAAGCAACTACTAAGTAAGCTAAAAAAAAGACATTAACTCTAACACTATTATAGCAGGGGACTTGAATACCCCATTAACAGGCCTAGATAGATCCTCGAGGCAAAAAAATCAACAAGGAGATCCAGAACCTAAACTTGACACTCAACCAAATGGACTTAATAGATACCTACAGATTATTCCACCCAACAGCCACAGAATATACATTCTACTCATCACCACATGGAACATACTCCAAAATTGATCACATCCTTGGCCATAAATCAAGCACAAAAAAATTCCACAAAGCTGAAATCTTGCCGT